AATTTCTTTCTATTTTTAGCAGAGACGGGGTCTCGCTCTTGCTCAGGCTGGTCTCGAACTCCTGGCCTCAAGCGATCCTCCTGCCTCGGCCTCCCAGAGCGCTGGGATGACAGGCGTGAGCCGCCGCGCCCGGCCTGAACATGCTCTTCTTAAGGAAGAGCAGTCAGGGGTCTTGTGCCCGCCGTGTCTGGCTGGCAGGGCCCGGCGCCCCGTGCTCTGCGCGGCCTCCCTCCCTCCCTCCCCCCCTCACTGTGCTGCTTGGTTTTGCAGGAGACACCGCCCGCAGCAGCCGGAGGTGTCCCCGCCGCCACCGTCAACCCATGGGACCTGCAGCAGTGGCAGCCCCCTGCGGGGCCGACCGGAGGCCACCTTCCAGGCCCAGCTTCCCCCGAGACTCGGATGACCGTGGGCTTTGGGCCCGGGGAGGCCCCCGCTGGCTTCTGCTCCGGAGACCAGCCTAGTGCTGTAGAGATGTTCGGGCACCTTTACTGAAAACGCTTCCCTCCGTCGCACTCGGAAGCCACTTGGGGCGTGACGACGGGTTTCGGGAGGCCGGGCTCGCCCCCCTGCCGCGAGGCTGTGCCGGCCGCAGCCCTCATCCCGTGTCCCGCTGGATCAGAGTGTAGCACTTGTCGCATTAAGAAAGGAAAAAGACTTTCCGCTCCCCGCTCACGTAGAGCTTCCTGCGTCGCGAGACCAGGTGGGGTCTTTGAGCTTCAGCCTGAGAGACTGGAACTGCCCCCTCGCCCCCGAGAGCCGGCCTGTCGGGGCCGCTCCCCGGCACCTGGGGCGCCGTGTGGGGTCTGCCACGCTGGAGCCAGGTTCCAGTCCCCGCCGCCGCCGGGCAGCCGGTTTTGGAGGGAGGGGATGGGCGAGGGGCCCCCTCCTCGACCACACCCGCCGCTCAGAGTGCGGGTGGCAGAGTTAAAACTTCTAAGATTATTTTTAAAAATCCTGTATTTCGGTACGAGTGTTAAATAGCGATTTGACAACGGTTTATAAAGTTACGTTCTGAATACTACGAGTCACGCGCAGGGCCGTGATTGTGCTGCGTGTCTGTTCTTTACCGCCGAGGTTGAAGACGCTCGCAGACCACGTCGGTGTCTGTTTTTAGGGTGAGGTTCATCTTCCGGAAGGAGACAAGGCGGGAACCTTGCCCAGACGTGTTTGTTTTTTTTTTTTTTTGAGACAGGGTCTGGCTGTGTTGCCCGGACTAGAGTGCCGTGGCATCAGCCTCGCTCACAGCAACCTCCAACTCCTGGGCTCAAGCGAACCTCCTGCCTCAGCCTCCCGAGTGGCTGGGATGACAGGCATGCCCCACCATGCCCGGCTAATTTTTTCTACATATTTTTAGTTGTCCAGCTAATTTCTATTTTTAGTAGAGATGGGGTCTCGCTATGTTGTCCCGGCTGGTCTCGAACTCCTGACCTGGAGTGATCCTCCCACCTCGGCCTCCCGGAGTCCTGAGATTATAGGCATGAGCCACCGCGCCCGGCCTCTTGTTTGTTGATGGACTAGACACGGGGTCCCTCGGAAATGCTTTTTGTTTTTTTTTTTTTGCCTTGTGCCTGTTGAAGCACGTGTTCATTCAGATGCTGTTTTGGTTCCGAGACTTGGAATCCTCCAGGCTCTCTGTTCGTCTTTGTTTCTTGAGTTTTCTCGGGAACCCTGGCTTTTGGGAACGCCGCCACGTCCGAGGGCGCGTTTTTCTGTCCGGCTCTGAGGCACCGTGTGCCCGGGTCCCGCTCCACCCGGAGGCACTCGAGCCCCTTCCGTAAACGGCCCCTCCCCTGCGGCCTCCGCGGCAGCAGCGCGGACTCGAGGTCGGGGGCCGTGACCGCCCACCTGGAAGGCTCCTCGCGGCTGCCAGGTGGTCCGGGGCCCTCCTCCCTCCACGGGGGGCCAGGCTGCCACCCGTGGGACACCACCCCCCGGGCCACTGCGGCTTGCTGCCTGCTTTTCTTCCGTCTCGGCATCGCGGCTGAGCCCACGCCACGTCCCCGACGCCGCGCTGGCTTCCGTCTCTCTCCGAGCAGCTGTTTAGACGGGAACCGGGGTGCTGCTGCACCCCTCAAATGTTCGCCTAGGGCCGATGAGGAAAGAGAGGGCCACCGAGACTCGGTAACAGTGGCTGCTTGGTCACACGGGCTGTCGGGGCACTAAAGACACAGGGTTTATTTCAGGCGAGTGCGGGAGCATACAGAAGGGGCCCACTCGGGACCCGGCCCGGTCCCTGCGCCGCCACCGCCCACGTCCTTGCGGAGCCTCGGCCGGCCGAACCCGCCGCGGCTGCGGGGGCTACGTGAAGAAATACAGCAGCTCCTCCTCGGCCTTGTCCGGCAGCGCGTGGTCCGACGCCGCCGTCGCTCTGAAGGCCGGGGGCCGCGAGCGGCAGACCAGCTTCCTGCCCCTCTGCAGAGGACACGAGCGAACTCGGTGAGCTGGCCCGGGTGCGTGTAGACGCCGCCCTCCCCTGCCCCGCCGGCCTGCCGGGGGCCCGTGCTTCCTCCTGCCGCACCAGCCCCGATCGCCAGGGGTAGAGGCGTCGGGACAGAGCAGTAGGACCCCGTGACAGGTGAGCTCGGCCCGGGTCCGGTTGGAGTCGGGGTGGGAGGGGGCGGCCCGACAGCGGGTGACCCCGCTCCTCCCCGGCCCGGCTCTGAGGCAGCCTGACCCCTCCGCCCGCCCCGCCGAGTCTCAGGACCCCCCCCAGGCTGACCCTGCCCACCTTCTTCCTGATCTCGGCCTGGGCCCGGGCCTGGGCCCGCAGCAGACGCTCCTCTTGAAGTGCCTTCTGCATCCGGGCCTTCTCCTCCCGAAGCCTGGGGGGCAGGGGGTGGCGTTGAGGAAGGGCAGGGCCCTGGGAGGCCCCGCCGAGTCCCCTTCTCAGGGGCACGGTCCCCCAGGTCGGGCCACACCCTCCCGAGAGAGAGAGAGAGAGAGACAGAGAGACAGAGACAGAGAGAGAGACAGAGAGATGGAGAGAGACAGAGAGACAGAGAGAGGGAGAGACAGAGAGACAGAGATAGAGACAGAGAGACAGAGACATATAGAGAAACAGAGACAGAGAGACAGACAGAGATAGAGACAGAGACAGAGATACAGAGAGACAGAGACATATAGAGAAACAGAGACAGAGAGACAGAGACAGAGATACAGAGACAGAGAGAGAAAGACAAAGACAGAGACACAGAGAGAGATAGAGACAGAGAGAGAGAGACAGAGACAGACAGAGACAGAGAGATGGAGAGAGACAGAGACAGATAGAGACAGAGAGACAGATAGAGACAGACGGAGACAGAGACAGAGACAGAGAGACAGAGACAGAGAGAGATAGAGACAGAGAGACAGACAGCGAGACAGACAGAGAGAGACAGAACTCCCGACTCCCCTCGCCGTCCGCCAGGTCTGCCCGCAGCACCGCTCCTGGCCCGGGCTCTGCCCCCGGGCGACCCCCGGCAGGCACGTGTCCCCGACCCACACCCACGTCCCCGATCTGTGTCCCTACAGCCCCCCCGCCGTCATCCCTGGGAAGGCCGGGCTCCCGGCCAGGGCGGCCGCCCCGTCTCCTGCCTGTTCGTGCTTCCGGGCGTCAAACCCCTCTGCCCATTGGCCCTCTGGACGGGGCTCCGGGGACCCAGGGCAGAAGGCCCCGTGTCCGCGGGCGACCGCTGGACGTCCGCAGGTATTTCGGGGCCCCGCACGGCTGGGCGGACGGACCAGGCAGCCCACGGGCCACAGAAGCCACCACGACGACCCAGCCCACCAGGCCCCACGCGGCGTCCAGACGGGGCACTCGGGCCTCCTGCCCCCGCCGCTGCCTCAGAGCTGGAGTCCCTGGTGGCCCACACCCCACCCTCCGCCCCTCCTGCGAACACGGCTGTCCTGGCCCCTGTACTCCAGCCCGAGGCCCGACCGGCCCTGTCTGTCCCCTGCTCACGCCCCTCACTGGTGTCCTCGTCTTCAGGGGCCGCACTCTCTGAGCTTCAGCGCTCAAGCAGCTCCTCCTGGGCACTGTCACCTCCTCCAGGAAGCCCTCCTTGACTGTCCCGGCTGAGTCTGATGATGCCCCCCCACCCCGGGTCCAGCCCGGGTGCGGGGAGCCCCTCGAAGGCAGGCCCCCCCCCCACCGGAGCTCACCGCACACGCCGCTCCTTCTCCTTGGCCTTCTCCGCCTGCTCGATCTTGGCCGGGGGCACGTGCTCCAGGTTCTCCAGCAGCTCGTCCAGCTGGTGCTCGATGACCGTCAGCATCTGCACGGTGCCCAGGCCGGCCTCCTGCTGGCCGCCGACGCAGTTGCGGTACACGTCCAGCACCTTGAGGTGCAGGCTGTCCAGCAGCTTGTCCTGCGGAGGCGGGCGGGCCTGCAGCGGGGGGGACGGCGGGCCTGTGCCCGGGCCCCGCTCCCCGCTCCTGCCCGGGCTGTGCCATGCTCGCCTCCCGGGGTCGGGAGCAGCCGGGGGGGCCCCCGGGTCTGTCCGGCAAACAGCGGGAGCTCCGGAAACCTGGGCTGAAACAGGACTCGGGGTGCAGGATTTTCTTGGCCAGAGCAGCCCGACGCCCTGGCCCCCCTCCGTTGGTCCGCCGGATCCTGGCTCCAGCCCCCCACCGGGGTTCACGCCCCTTGTCCCCCGACGCCCAGCCTACCTGCTCGTCACCCATGTACTCGCCGAAGTGGAAGACCCGGGCTTTGAGCTCCAGCTCGGCGGCCGTCTCCTCCTCCTTAGCGATGGCCATCGTGATCGTGGAGATGCACTGCTTCAGATGCTTGAGCTCCCTGTCCCTGCGTGGGGGACGGCAGGGCCACCGCTCAGCGTGGCTCCAGGCAAGTGAGCTCTCCGAGCCCGACCATCGGCACAG